GAGCAGAAACGGTAGGTCTTCTCCGAGCTTCGCCCTGCGACGAACTCTCTCCTCGAGAACTCTTCTCCTCGCTAACTCTCACTCGAAATTAAAATATGCCCACCACGTGTCTCTTTGCCATTTCTAAACATAATTGTTGATTTAATTTCAAAAATTAAAATAAATTATTGTTTCAAATATCATTAATAAACTATAAAAAATGCAATTTCAAAATAAATTAAACTATAATAATAATTTATTAACTACAACAAAATTAAATAAAGAAACAATTAGCTAATTAATTAAAAAATATATTTAAATACATTTCCATTTAATTATTATTAAATTAATTATTATTACAAATACAAATTTACTATAAATAAATACATCCAAATACAAAAATTTTACTAATTTAAATAAATTAAATTGGATAATATTTTATTTAAGAAATAAAAAAATTTTAAATATATAAAAAATTTTCGTATCTAATTTCTTAATCATTTATTTTACAAACTACAAATAAAAAAATTTATAAAATAGTCAAATAATAATCTAAGTCAAAAAGAAAATTTAAAACATTAACACTAAATATATCACAATATATACATATATCTTTCGTTATAATAATTTAAAAACAATTAAAAACTAAAAAATTCAGCACAGCCGAAAACGATTGGATATCCGATTGGCCTTCACGGATATCCCACATCCGTCGACGGAAGTCCGGAAATCCTTCGAAGGCAAAACGGATGTCCCACATCCTTTTCATCAAGCCTTTCCTGCACAGTAACATCGTCCGACAAAGCAACGGGGTGAAGACGACCTGGGACGCAGATCTGCTCGTTTCCTCCCTCCGCACACGCTGTTTCCTCCGCACCAGTGTTTGCTCCCACAACCAAACGATCTTTCTACAAAAACTACAAACAAAGAAAATTGATAAATACAAATGGAGAAAGAATGGAGAAAAATGGAGAAGTGGGACGGAAGTGAGAAATCTTACGACTGAGAAATCTTAACGTACTGAGGGGAGTGACGGAAGTGGGAAGTGAGAAGTGGAGAGAGGAATATTGGTAGGGTTTAGGAAAAAGTAAATTTAAATCAATCTAAATATTAAAATAAGGAAAAGTAAAAACATTTAACTTTAAGGACAATAACTGTAATTATTAAAATTGGTATTATATAAAATTGGGGAGGTGGAGGGAGAAGCACGTGGGGGTGGAGGGAGCAACGCCCTTATTCCTTCCTTTTCTTTGCTGAGAGTACTGGAAGCGTTAGTGATTTTTCTTTCTTCACCCTCTCGTTACTTTTTAAAACTGCATGAAACAATCTTATGTTTAGATCCTTTTTGGAAAAACAATTAATTTCCTATTATCAACGTCAATAGTTTGTTTAGTTTTTTTGTTACTCTTAATACAAAATACATACAGATAGTATATGATCAAGAGGATAAAAGATTTAATAACTAAAATGTACAACTAGTATTTGTACTCGTGCAAAATGCAGGTGTTAATTAGATTCCAATTTTTTTATTATATGAAAATAAATTCAATTGCATTTAGATAAGGATTATGTTATATATTTAAATCAAAATAATAATAAAATTAATGAAAAATATTGAATAATGCATAACAATGTATGATAAATCTTTATCATATATGAATTTTTAGAAGTTTACAATAGTATTCATAATCAACTGATGATGACTTGCAAGCAGTGATTTAAATATTTGAACAATAATCCTAAAAAAAGTGTTAGGGTTATACCTATCATTTTAATTTATTTTGAATGAAATATGCACTTTCAATATCATCTACTTTTGATGTTATTGAGGTGCAGGTTCTTGCCATCTGAAGTAAGAAAATGAATACAATCATCACTTGTATAATATTAATATAGTTTATGAATCTTCTATATAAACAAGCAATTGTATATATTTTAGTAAAGAGTTCTAACTTGAATAATATACTAAATGTGAATACTTACAATATATTCTCCTTTGGTTATAACCAACAGTGGTGATTTGGGTGCAATATTTGTAATGATAGAATTGAACTTTTGGAATAAAAAAATTGTAAACCAAGAAGATGACTTATCAAAATTAAACTAGATAATGTTTTCGTATTTTGAAGGTTAATAATGTTATTATTAAACAATGAACTTCCTCTTCCTTCTTGCAGTTTTTGAATCATTATAGTCTTTATATAGAACAATAATTGCATTTCCCTTTAAATAAATTTAAATTTATTAACAGAATTATGTTTTCAGACTTAGAGCTTTGATTTGAAATGCTTTGGACTTAAAAAACACTTCTTTAAGTAAATAAAGTTTTGGAAACAATAATGACAAAAATATTCAAGATCTTTTAAACCAAAGTTTACATTTTCAAAGGTAATTGTTTTTGTATTGTTGTTAGTGAGTTTTAGATTCTTGCAATCTGAGTAAAATAATGCATATTGCAAAATTTAACTCAACAGATAGGTCATTGTCATGAACATTATAAATCACGATTGTTATAGAAATAAATTCCATTAAAATAATTAAAATTTAAAATTAAACTATCACAGTCCTCTTCTTAATGTTAAGATATTTTGATCTGAAACTCAAATAATTTAAATCTAGTGAGCATATATCATCACACTAGTACAGTAAAAGGAAATGACAGCGGTTATTTTTGTTTATCCGCATCGGTTCTGCAACCGAGGTATATACAGACGAGACAAAAAGTGTACCACATTTTGCCTCGGTTCTCAACTGAGGCATAAAAATGCATGTTTTTACCTCGGTTCAAATACAACCAAGGCATAAAAATGTATGTTTTTACCTCGGTTCAAATACAACCGAGACAGTAAAAGATGTTCCTTATTTCACTTTTTTTTACCAGACTTTTGGTCCCGGTTCCTGGTGAACCGAGGCATATGCCTCGGTTTGGAGAATTTTTTTTTCCCGATATCATGCTTTGCTAGTAACATCCCACCTTATAAAAATATTGGAACTAATATTTGATTCTCTTTTAAGGAGCAGCATTCACCAATACAATAATAAAAATATAATTATAAATTAAAATTATGTTAAATTCAATTACACAACACCAACCATGTTTACTACATTAAACAGAAAATTATTCGACTTGTCAACACTGCACTAATAATAACACTAAGGCCAGGTTCTATTAAAACAATATCGGATGCACTCCGAGCTGCATCAGTTGCGTCAACAACAGCTATACCAATGTCGACCTTCTTGAGTGCAGGTGCGTCATTCACTCCATCACCAGTCATCCCACAAATATGTTTCCTGGCTTGCAAACGTTTCACAATCTCGTACTTGTGCTCTGGCAAAATATAAATCAACATGAGAAAACAAGCGCATATTGATCAATTCTTCCAATTGATAATCAATCTTTCATCCAATATATGATCACCAATAGTATTAAAAACAACCCATTGCAAAGATGAAGATAGAAACACAGCAAGAAAAACACTAGCAAACCCATCTGCATTTTCAATCAGTTCATCAATAGGTAATGCAGATATGGACTCATCCTTGTCCTGCCCAAGAAATGCAGATGAAGGATACATATTGGTACCCATTCCCAAGCGCCGGCCAGTTTCCTTTCCTATGGCTAGCTGATCCCCTGAAAATAAAAGGAAGAAATAAATGAGATCACGAGGAGTATATGGTGTTAATAAGATTAGACAAATATCATGATCATGATATTTGTTATATAAACGTCATGAAAGTAACATATATTACGATAGTTTTTCTATAATCATCATGGAAGTTGATATTTTCTTTTAAATTACCTATTTACACTTTTGTTTTACCTAAAATATGTTAAAAGTTTAAAAATTGCGGCCAATTTAAATAAGTATAATAATTATGTAATCTTTGCACAAAGTTTTTAAACATTTAAAACTACTAAACTAAATCTAACTATCAACTTCTAAATTCTTATATCTAGAAAGAAAATACTTTGCTCACATTGTCGGAATATAGGATAGTGCTTTGGAATCCATTGAGTGTTCGTCAACAAAATTCTACAAAAGTAAATTGAAGTTAATACTATTACATATGAAAATGAATTACCGCATATGTTTAAATGGAATATATCATATTTCCTCATCAGAACAATTTTCATAACCAACTTCCACAAAGGTTGTTATCCATTGCATGATGTAGTAGTTACACTCAAAGTTACCATTTTGCACTACAAAAAAAAGGTTATTTATAGGGGGTTATTTTGAGGAGGTTATATAAAACCCCCTCAAATTAACATACTTTAAGATGTTTAATTTAAATTATCTAACTGACAATATTTGTGGGGGTTTTAATTTCTTTCAAGAGAGGTTTATAACCTCTTTAAATAAAAATATATTTTTATTCATCATCTTCTAATTCTTTTACATTTTTTCCTCTAAAAATTTTAGACTAAGTTTCATTTTAGCAATTTTAAAATTTTATTCCCTCCAGATCTAAAACTCATCTCTGCCTAAAGCCATTATTTTTCTAAAAGTTAATTTTCCTCTAAAAATCATCTGACAATTTCTCCCTTCATTTCACCTGAACCCTAGTTTCTCCCTTCATTCCATCCGCTCACTCCGCTCACCTAAACCCTAGGTTCTGCAAAATCCCCAATTCCTAAGGTTTCATCTCCAACATCATCCGCACCTGTGAAATCACCGGTTCCCAAGGTCTCATCTCCAACATCATCTGCACCTGTGAAATCACCGGTTCTTATAACAAAAGTATGTAATGTATAGTTTTATTCTTTAGTTCCAACATAATTGTAAATTTTCGGTGGGGTAATGTTAGCTCTTCACTTGAACTTTCCCAATATAGGAATGCTGGGAGAATTACTTTGACCAATATTTTCATCAGTATACAGACATATACTAAGATTCTTTTGTACTAGGTGGGATGATGCTGTTTGTTCTGTTAGATTGTGGTAACTAGTACATTGTAGTTTCAATTAATTTCCTCTAAACTAGATCTAGTTTGTTGATAGATTGTTACCAATTTGATTTTTATTGTTACAGTTTTATCACCACTTGACATTCTTTTTTTTTTTCTGTTCTAAATTTTTGAGCCATTTGGTCCTGTTGAGGTTGTCCAACTGCCTCTTGACTTGGAAACAGGCCACTGCAAGGGTTTTGGGTTTGTTCAAGTTCATTTCTAACACCTAAATTTGCAAAACTTTGCTCTATGACATAATTGTATTTATCTCTTTAATTAATTTCACTGGGCAGTTTACCCATCTTGAACATGCCAAGGCTGCTCAGAGTTTAAATGGAAAATTGGAGATTGCTGGCAGGACTATCAAGGTGGAATTATTGTGTTGTACATTTTAGTTTTAACCTGGTATCTTTAAGTTTTGTTGATGACAATTCTGCTAGTTCATGTGTTTCTGATTGATGTTGTTCATCAAATTCAGGTCTCATGTGTAACGGATCATGTTGGAAGTCAAGATACCACCGCAAAATCGGCAGACTTAGATGATGATGAAGGTGGATTGGTAAGTTTGTTTCGTTATATAAAGTATTCAAAACTGGTTACAACTTGGCACGTTATTAAGAATTTTAAATCTAATCCTCATCGTGCAATATTTCAAAATTACTGTCTGTGCTTTATAGAAAAAGAAAGTTTTTCTATTAAAGATGTGTTTAAAAAATGTATGATAATCAATGTAACTCTTAAAAAGTAGTGTTTTGTCCTTCCAGAAGTTAGAAATATTTATCAAAGCAAAAAGTTTCAGAAATGTTGTATCAATACCTCTAGGAAACTCCTACTATAAAAAAAATTAACAAATTAATTTAAATTGTATTGAAGTAAAAACAATTGTTAAAATTTTAAAATGATTTAATGTACTGTAATGAACATAAAAATAGAAAATTAGAATATAGTGTCTAATTTGTCACTTGATGAGCTAGAACTAGAGAGTATGTTTTTTAATAATGATGATGTAGGAGGTCACCAACTCTAGATTAGATACTTTTGAAGCAACTAGAAATTGATGCAACTAGACATTAAAGAAGATGTAGAGGAAAAGTGTTCTAAATATGGCCGGGTGAAGCATATTTTTGTTTACAAGTACGTTCATAAATGTTTAACGCCCTTCAATAATCATGAACAATTTTACTACATGCCTCAACTTTTAATTAAATTTAAATTAATTCCACTTTAATGTGTCACAACTTACAATTCTTTAATTGGTTTGGCATGCACACAGAAAAAGTGCAGGTTTTGTCTATATGCAATTTGAAACAGTGGAAGCAGCGATTGCTGCTCAACGTGCAATGCACATGAGCTGGTTTGCACGCAGGTTAATTTCAGCAATCTTCATGGTAATCTTTTGGCATGCACACACACACACATATATATATATATATATATATATATATTCATTACACAGCATTTGTACTGTATTTTAATGTCGATACATAAGATGATTTTGACTCAAATATGTATATCTGTATATTTATAGCCTGTAGCGGCTGTCCTCAAGTTATAAATTGGTTATACATAAGATTGATTTTTTAGAACATGTTTATTCTATTTGATAGAAGATGTTTATTCTATTTGATTGATAGAACATGTTTATTTTATTTGATTGATTTTTTATATATTATTTTCAAAATGTGAGCACATGTAATTGAGTTTATTTTATTAATATTTTTTATATTATTTCAGCAAGCTCGTGATGCAAATGAGCCAGAGTCTCCTTTGGAAACAAGACAATCATCTGATGGAAGTAATCTTTAGGAAATTTATGATATTGTTTTAGGATAAAACTATATTAGTTTATTATGAATTGGGATCACATTTCTTTCTTTGTAACTATTTCTGCAATAGGATTACATTGACTTCTAGCCTATCCTTCTGTAACATACAATTGTCTCTCAATTTATTTTTCTAAATTCCTTCCTACTCAGGGGTTTTTGTTCTATGGTATCAATTTTTTATTCAG